GCGAGAAATTTGAATAAAAACAAAAAATGAAACGTGACGCTCTGTTGCTATATTTGTCAGATCAACCTAATTACGTGTTAAATGCGATAACACATTTACAAGTAAGATATATTACCAGTATTGTTGAAAATGGCGGACACAGAGAATTTAATTAAATTAATTTTATAGTTAGCCTGAAGTTGAAGTTCTCAAAATGTTTGTTCATATAATCTTAATCAGTAACCTTTATTTTGGACTTTATAATTCAATGCTTTCCTTGTTTACTGCAACTATAGTTTATTGCAGTAGGTATTATTAAATAATTTGCGAAATATTTTTTTATTATCATTTGTTCAAAGAGTAGTCAAAGTTTCTCCTCATTATTAAGGCGAGAAACTAATGAAAACAAAAACTTAAACGTCTTTTCTTAACTACTTCTGAATGAATAATAATAATAAAGAGCACTATTTCAGCTAATCTACTGCAAAATTAGACATTTTCTTTATTCAACAGGGATGACATAAAATATGGTGCTAGAACTGAAGATAATCGCCAATAAGGCCGAAACGGTGCATCACAAACCCATTTCCAGTATATCGTTGAATTTGTATTTTAAAGGGCTATCCAAAAATTCGAAAATTTACAGGAGGTCCCATTTAAAAAAATTGAAAAGCGTAACATTTTGCGAAACGTGGCAACACGGCGTTTTTTGAACAAATATTCCAAATTTCAAAATAGTCTAAAGAAGAGCATTATTTTATGAAAAATAGCATGCAAAAAAAAGTTTTAAAAGTTTATGAGTAACGTAATAATGCCTGTTTGAAATTACCCCAGATCCTGAAGATTATCGCTAATAAGTTCGAAACGGTTTATCACAGACACATGTCAAGTATATCGTTGGATTTGTCTTTCAAAGGGCTATATGAAAGTGTTTTGAAATATATAGGGTGTTTCATTAAAAAAAATTAAATTTTATCTCTCCACCCTGTATATAGTAGAGTAACAACAAAAACAATGCAAAAAAAATTTAGATAATTTTATTAGAAACAACTTTTGTATTTAATTTTTTTTTGCAGCCCTCGTAGATTTCGAGATAAGGTATAGGCCCCTCTTAAACGGGCCACCCTGTACAACTCGTGCAATGGAAATATATTTTCAATTTTTGACAAATTTGCACTCATGCGTTTTTGACAGAAATGGGCACTGAAAAAGCACTGGTGCTCCTTTTTAACTAAAAATGCATCCGGGCAAATTTCCCAAAAATTATCGACAATTTCCATTGCACTCGACATTTAGAATTTCATACATCTGTCAAAACTGACATTCCAACAATAAACTGACATGTTTTGATTGTTGATTTACGTTTTATGCGTGTATCAAACGTCAAATTATTGAAGCAATGTCAAAAAAGAGCGAATCTCGCGCAAGTGAGAATTAGGCTTCACGCGATAATTGGCGCGACACTGGTGTTTTAACATTTTTTGACAAAAAATTTAAATTTTTGATTCATGAAATTCTCTCATAAAAGCTCTTTTCGGGTTCGAAAAAAGGACGGTTCTAGAACGGTTCAAAACAATCGCACAGTTCATCAATCAACTAAATGACAACGGTTCAGCTATCACAAACTTCAATAATAAACTGTGCGATTGTTTTGAACCGTTCTAGAACCGTCCTTTTTTCAAACCCAAAAATAGCTAAAATACAACTCAAGCAATGGAATTTTTAATCTTGGATTAATTTCCAAGCTGGTGTCAAATGATAGTTCATGGAAAACTCAGATAAGAATGTATGATCGGTTTAGCTCTAAAATCAACCGTTGAGGTTTTAAAGCCTGTCAAAGTTGCAAAAAAGTTAATTTTCAACTCTTATTATTTCCGAAACAGTTGAAGATAGGTATAGGATATGATACATTAAATAAGTTCAGAATGTAACGTAGAAATAAGAAATGAAATTAAAAAAAATCCTGTACAGTTCACACCCGGTAGAAGTGAAACCTTCATCGAACTGCATGCATTACACACATACTAACATACACAGTGGCGTCCCCCCCACCAAAAGACTTGAGAAAGAACGCAAATAAATATAGTTTGAAAAAACTAAAATACACGCTGGGGTGCTTTGTTCCACATTTTTCATACATTGAGCACCCCACGCTTTTTTGACAATAATTCTAATATTTTTTGTTCATTAATATTTTCTGTTTCTATTAAAAATTATTTTTCACTTTTTAGTTCAATTTACTATAAAAGCGTGTTTTTTAGTTTTTTTAAAATACATTTATTTTTCACTTTTTAGTTCGATGTATTATAATAGCGTGTCAGCCCCAGAGATTTCTAGACTTTTCGAGACATTATCCAGACTTATTCAGAGCTTCCCAGAGTTTTCCAGATTCCATCCAGATTTATCCAGACTTGTACAGACTGATCCGGATTCTGGAAAATGATCCCCAGGTCTTTTGGGACCTTTTCCAGAATTTTTCCGACCCCTTCAAGAAATTTCCAGGCCTTTTCCAGACGTTTCCAGAGATTTCCAGATATTATCCAGACTTATCCAGAGTTTTCCAGACTTCATCCAGATTAATCCAGACTTTATCCAGATTTGTTCAGACTGATCCGGATTCTGGAAAATGATCCCCAGGTCTTTTGGGACCTTTTCCAGAATTTTTCCGACCCCTTCAAGAAATTTCCAGGCCTTTTCCAGACGTTTCCAGAGATTTCCAGACATTATCCAGACTTATCCAGAGTTTTCCAGACTTCATCCAGATTAATCCAGACTTTATCCAGATTTGTTCAGACTGATCCGGATTCTGGAAAATGATCCCCAGGTCTTTTGGGACCTTTTTCAGAATTTTTCCAACCCTTTCCAGAAATTTCCAAGTCTTTTCCAGATGTTTCCAAACTTTTCCAGACAATATCCAGACTTATCCAGAGTTTTACAGACTTAATCCAGATTTATCCAGACCTTAGCCAGACTTGTACAGACTGATCCAGATTCTGGAAAATGATCCCCAGGTCTTTTGGGACCTTTGGCAGAATTTTTCTGACCCTTTCCAGAAATTTCCGGGCTCTTTCCAGACGTTTCCAGAGAATTCCAGACATTATCCAGACTTATCCAGAGCTTTCCAGAGTTTTCCAAACTTCATCCAGATTAATCCAGACTTTATTCAGACTTGTTCAGACTGATACGGATTCTGGTAAATGATCCTCAGGTCTTTTGAGACCTTTTTCAGAATTTTTCCAACCCTTTCCAGAAATTTCCAAGTCTTTTCCAGACGTTTCCAGACTTTTCCAGACAATATCCAGACTTATCCAGAGTTTTACAGACTTAATCCAGATTTATCCAGACCTTATCCAGACTTGTACAGACTGATCCGGATTCTGGAGAATGATCCCCAGGTCTTTTGGGACCTTTGGCAGAATTTTTCCGACCCTTTCCAGAAATTTCCAGGCTCTTTCCAGACGTTTCCAGAGATTTCCAGACTTTTCCAGACTTCATCCAGATTTATCCAGACATTTTCCAGACTTGTTCCAGCTCACTTGGCTTGTTCCAGGTTCTTGTTGTGTGTTAATATAAGCGTGTTAAAAAAGTGTCATGTCGCTTTTTCGTTTCATCGAGTCTCACATCACTCCCAACGATTCTAAAGAAGTTTTCACTTCAAAATTAATGTTTTGATTTAAAAAAATAAAGTTAGCGGTCACAACTTGTTTCTGGGTCACCCTGTATACATGATATTACCATCAGAAAAACGGCAACTGAAATCAAAAATCGATGTGTCCGAGGTTTTCATGAGCAATCTCACCAATGTTTATTATTTTTCTAGGTTTTCTGGAAGTTCTTTATGTAATAAACGAATAAACATCATCTCTCCCACCCTCGTAACTACGCCACCTCACTTTTTTTTTGTGTAAACATTTCAAGTATCTATTTTGCTGTATTTGTATAGGTAAATTTTATTATCTTTGTAATATATTTTTGTGTTTCCGCACATTCCATTCTCCACATTCTTATTTGTTAAATAAAAAGCACAATGTAAATTATAAAACTATTATTATAACTATACTTTTTAATTTAGATTAAATATGATAGGTGTATTAGTTTTGCCTCCACAAAAGCCCATAGGATTTATTATTCACCTTCCATGCAATTTGATCACACCCTTCCGTTATCTCGGAAATATTTGCCGTAACGTCGTCTATCACGGTCCTACTTTGAACTCGGCGACAAAGAATGAATTTCGCGCGCTTGAATTTGTTGTTGGCCTCTTAAATGGTATATGTATGTATATGTACCTTTTGGAATCATTTAAAGTTTTAAGTTTCGTATATTAATATAAAACTAATTCTCTCTGGCTGTGAGAAACAGGGTTGCAAATTAAACATTTATATGTTTCATATCATATATCTTTCAAAGTTTTTACTATTTATTCCAGTAATTTGAGTTATATTTAGTTTTTATTTTTTCAGAATATTTCGTACCTCGGAATTTGTTTTTAACGATAATTAATCATTTTTCCAGCTTACTTGTGGAAATTAGGACTATGAAAAATCAGTCAGTATTGATATCGAATCCGATATTCATTTTTATTTAGGGCAATTTTCGCCGGAGGCTCAAAAGGTCTATAATCCACGATATCCTGTCCGTTCGTTTTCAAAAAAGGATCCAAGCTTTAATATAAATACATTACGATTTGTTACAGAAATTGGCCCGAGGTTCCGTACTCTTTACAAAGTATCAAATCCCTAACTAAACCCATCAGGATTTTACGGGTTTGCCAAAAGTGGATTAGAAGTACCTACCCACATTTTCTTTTTTCATTTTATTTCGGAAGAATTTCAAAACTAATAGCCATGAAATGTTCTTGTCTTGAAAACATTTCATATTTGATTATTGGTAGGTATTTGAAGTTATAGATTCGATTATTATAATACATAATTAAATAAGGATTAAAAACAAACGTTTTTTAATTTAATCTTATTTCCGTAATTTCTTCTAATTATTCCACCTACTGATATAGTGTTAACCTAGAACTATCCCAGGAGTCTTTTTCCATTTGTTCTACATTTCTATTAGGATTGATGAATATGTCCAATGCATTTTTCTTTTCAAAAGACATAAATACGCAATTCCAGTTGCTGCGTGAATCTAATTTCTTATGGTTTTTTGGGAATTTCGATTTAGTTGAATTTAGTTCTCTACTCGTAAGAATGTTTTTTGCGATGTTGATAATAAGTGAAAGTGTATTTATTTTCTACTTTACTATTATAGATCCATAATACCTAGGAAACGAAATACGTTAACACACCTATAACAACCTGATCCATAACGCCCGCTTTTGCGGGCGTTATGATCTATAACGCCCGCTTATAATACCTTAAGGTGTTTTTGTTGTTGTTGTTCTATTAATTTGCACTTTACCCTAGGCAGCCACTAAATGTCTGACCGAATAGCTATTTATGTACCAAGGGGATTATGTAGATTATAATGCCCGAAGGCGAAACTAGCCCGAGGGCCTATGGCCCGAGGGATATATTTCGCCTGAAGGGCATTATAATCTTGAAATCCCCGTGGTGCATACAATGCTTTATTTTCTACTCAACCCAATATTTTTTCATGAATTTATTATTAACAAAATCAGTTAAACTTGTGTGACAGAATATTGATTTGTATTTTGACATGTACCTGTACCTGTGACCTGAACCTGTACCTGCGACCTGTACATAGAAACGAAATAAATTGATATATCTATAAACATCTCATAAGGCAAGGCAACGGTGGTGGTCCTGTGGGTTAACGCGCTGGACTACATGGGAAACGTTGATGGTAGACCGGGTTCGAATCCTGGCTAGACCGAAAATTATTTTCGGTCAGACATTTAGTGGCTGCCTAGGGTAAAGTGCAAATTAATAGAACAACAAAAACAAAAGCATCTTAAGGTATTATAAGCGGGCGTTATAGATCATAACGCCCGCAAAAGCGGGCGTTATGGATCAGGTTGTTATAGGTGTGTTAACGTATTTTGTTTCCTAGGTATTATGGATCTATAATAGTAAAGTAGAAAATAAAATAATTTTCGGTCTAGCCAGGATTCGAACCCGGTCTACCATCAACGTTTCCCATGTAGTCCAGCGCGTTAACCCACAGGACCACCACCGTTGCCTTGCCTTATGAGATGTTTATAGATATATTAATGTATTTCGTTTCTATGTGCAGGTCGCAGGTACAGGTACAGGTCACAGGTACAGGTACATGTCAAAATACAAAACAATATTCTGTCACACAAGTGTAACTGATTTTGTTAATAACAAATTGATGAAAAAACATTGTGTTGAGTAGAAAATAAAGCATTGTATGCACCACGGGGATTTCAAGATTATAATGCCCTTCAGGCGAAATATATCCCTCGGGCCATAGGCCCTCGGGCTAGTTTCGCCTTCGGGCATTATAATCTACATAATCCCCTTGGTACATAAATAGCTATTTTGACCCTCGAGAGACTTTACATTTCTGGTTTCTTGATATTAATTTACCAACTATAGATCAAATGTGATAAATAGCAGAAACTCAATGCCCATCCGAGTAAATGATATATTTTATTCACATCAATACCTATACTGTCACGCCTCTGGGGTGCCTCACAGAAATCTTGGGTTCGTTTATTCCAAAATCAAAGTCCAAATAACACAACAATAATTTATTCCACGTTACTACACACTCTGACACTAATTAGTAATTACTTCACTAATTACTCAAACAACTTAATTCTTTACAACTTTTACAAAATTCGCTATCTAAATCGTATGACAGCCAATCTTAAACTTAAAACTACCTACCAACAAATACCGGCCATCCGCAATCTATTCGTGTAGAATCCAGAATGAACGCGATAATCTTTTTGCCCAGTATTTTCTAGATTTCAAGTTAGATTCTGTATTGTATGGCGAAGGCGCCACACTGCCCTCCTCTTAAGGTTGATCGTCCCGATCAACTTCACGCCCATGATATTTCGTCAATCTGGCCAGATGTACAGTCATATGCATAAAAAGTGGGACACCCGACTGACAGGTCTTGTCATTTTTCGCTATTTTGGGTAAATCAGTCTTTTCTCTACAATAGATTTTTTGTCAAATATGACAGTCCCTGTCATTGCAGTAGGTATAGTTGATGAGCTCGTTTTACAATAGGAAAAAACGGGTGTCCCACTTTTTATGCTCACGACTGTACAACTTTCATCTTACTCCTGGTGTTGCGCTGAACTCGATAAACCAAATCATTGATCCTCTTGATTATGTTGTAGGGTCCTTCCCATGCTGAAGACAGTTTCGGCGACACTCTTTTTTTTCTTGTTGGATTATACAGCCGCACTAAATCACCTTCTTGAAATCCAGCTGAATTGGCTTCTGGTCGTATCTGGTCTTTATTCGGTCACTGTCCAGCTGAATATGCTCCCGAGCAAAATCATGTATTCCCAGAAGTCGTGCCCTTACTTCGTCGGCATAATCTCTAACTGAACGTAGAGCAAGTAAAGTTGTAGTATAACATACCCGGGTTCGTTCAGTAAGATTGAACGATGAGAATTTTTATTACCTTCTAAACAACAAATCTTCTGAAAAACGAAATGAAAAACAAATAGGACCTACGTTGTGGAGACTTACTCAATTTTACTTACTAGACATGCGCCCGATATAGCAAATATTTGGGAAATTTAAGGGAAGTTGTGACATGTAAAAAAAAACGAAAAATTTGTCAAACGTCTACTTTATTATTAAAGTAAATCGTACCGTTCTCATCCTGGAACTAACGAGGGGAAAGAGCACGGCAGAGAAACCCTCGATCTAACATTCCTCAAAAATCGAAACATACTGTGTAATTTTAATAATAATTGTGAGTCATTAGGTCAATAATTTAAGTCAATAAAAGTTCAAATTAGGTACCGCTCTTGTTCTTGTGCTAAAATTTAAATTACACACACTACATTTAATCAACACTACCTATATTCAATACTGAAGAGTTTTTGGTTAGTTAGCCAGTTTCGCAGCAGGTATTGAGGTCCCATACGGGATGCTACCCAGCTATAGTTGTTTTTGAGCCAATGTCTCTAGATTGATTATTTCAATTTGTTAGGATATTCTCTCGTCAGGTTAGGAAAATGTTAGTAAAATCGACAAGGCCTTAATACACGTTCTGAATACACAAAATCGAAATCTCAGCACATAATTTCTTAGGTTTTAATTTACTTCTTTATCGGTGTTGTTTACAGCATGAAACGATTTTTGTTAAATACACTAGAGTCTAGCCGTCACAGCAAGCCCGATAATAGCCGAACAGCGAACTCTGGTGCATAGAAAATCGAGAACAAGAATTTAGTTGTTATTTATATCGTTTTTTTAAACCATTTTTATCCATTTTACAAGATAATAATTATTTGTAGAAATATTAAATTTTTTGTAGTTTGGATTTAGGATAGTAATGTATTCGGATGATTCAGAAAAACTCTGCAAAAGAAATTCGATTCAATCTTAATGAACGTTAATAATGGGGAAAGTTATAGGGTGGTAGAATAGGCATTATTGCCTATAAACCCAGTATTGACCACTTTAAAACGAAAACAAAATGAACTACTCCCCTTACTTACAAATGAGCGAAAAAAGTTACCAATTACTCAACAGAGGAAATGTATTTCGAGAAAAAAAAAATGCAAAGATCCGCATCTAATCTTCAACATCCTGAAAGAGAAGAAAAAAACGCATTAATTTTGCAGACAATATTAGACACTAATGATAATTCCACGGACTCGAACACGGATACGTAATACCTATAGAATAATAATTTAATTTTAAGGCATGTTCAAGTTAATAGTTATTTATGATATAAGTGTTAAAAGTACATTTTTAAGGCACGCATGTGAAAGTTTGCAGAATGAGCGAAGCGAATTCTGCAATTCACATAAGTGCCTTAAAAATACTTTTAACACAAATATCATACAATATTTTTTCTACAAACGGCAATAAAAAGCAATAACCACTAACAAATTGGATTTTTAAATGAATAATAAATTGGAAGCATCTTTCCTACATAAAATTCTTGAATTTGACATTTGTCAAAAAATCCATACAACTAGCACCTTGTTTTACAGGTAACGAAATGTCTTGTCAGTTTCTTGAAAGTCTGTGGTGGTCAGATACAGAAGAAACAGAGGGTTGCATCGATCCTTCCAAAAATATAGATGAGGCGGCCAATCGGGCTACCTCAGTTGTTCAAATTTCACCATTAATATCAATGTAAATAACTGAAAATACAAACTTTTTTTGACGTCCGCTCTCAAAATTTGATGTTTCACTTTTAACACTAGTGCTATAAAGACTTTATGGCACTAGTGCGATAAAGTAACATTTTTAATGCTTCGGGGCCGTGTTAAAAATTGCATTTTTAACACGTTTGTAGAAAAAATATTTTTTGATAAAGTTTTATCAGTTTTCTTTTATTATATTTAATATTGATTTTAAGTTTATTTTTGTTGTTTTTGCTGCAACCGAATATATACCTTCCTTCAAATTCAATGCGGCTCGGCTTTCGGCTAAAATCGTAGTTGCTCCACATGTGATGGCTAGACTCTTGTGTTAAATACATGAACAATGCACATGTTATGGTATCAACAAACAAAAAAACAAAAAAATTAATAGAAAAAATGATACTTGTATAAATTGAACGCTCACAAACAAAATAATAATTATCTAACTGACCTGGTGATCGCTCCTTGACACACACACTAATAACAAATTGGATTGAACAATCAGTTTATTGCAAAATAAAAATAAAAATTGAATAATGAATAATTACAAACACGCGATACGCGTCTAACGGACCAGCCCTAGCTCCTTCTCTAGTCACTCTAATGCCTAATCACCTCTTCTCTAGCTCTCGTTCGGTTTGGTACCCTTTCAGTACGCTTCACGGCGCATACAAGGTTGCAACATTTATTTTTATTCAGTAAACATTTTTTAAAAAAGTTAAGATTCAAAGAAATAATACTTTAAATAGGTGGTTTTCCCTCAAAGTTAAAGGACAGCGGTATACCGGTATACCACATCAAAAGGCCACATTAAGCCTGGGAAG